CCTTTTGTTGTTGGAGACACTTAGTTGGCTGAAAGGAAGTGAAAGGAGGGAGAAACAACGAGAGGGGTCACGAAGAGGAGGAAAGGCTGGGCACTTACGGAAGGGATTCTTTGCTAAGACCTCCTAACAAGCTGGGAACACAAGGGCTACTGGAAGCAAAAAGAGTAAATGCTTCAAAAAGAGTCATACGAATCCATAGTAGGGAAGCAGGCTTCTACTGAAAGCCAACTTTTATTCTCCGCAAAGCACCATGCAATGTGAATAAAAGACAGGCAATAAAGAATATAATATTGTGGAGTACAAGGCTGTCTGCTTAAATTGGCAGGAATTCAATCTCTGTACCAGCAAACAGGCCTTAATGTCACCAGAAACCGTTTTCAAGGCAAGGATGCCGCCCTGGAATGTGCAATGTATAAATGAATAATTGTACCAACACTCCTGACAGATGTAACAGATGTGTCTGGACTGAATATTGCTTCATCTTACCCAGCATTGTCAATGGCTTGCAAGAATCTGAGTCAGGAGACATTTCAAAATTGTTTTCATTCATAAACCGTTTTTTGACACGTGCCTCATGCAATTTGTTTATTTTCACTAAACCCTCATCTCTATCTCATTTTTGATTGAGTGTTGACTTGAACTTTCTTTTTGATCAACTAATGTATAAATCTCATCAGCCCTGTTCTCCATTGACAAATAAAGGAAGGAAGGAAGGAAGGAAGGAAGGAAGGAAGGAAGGATGTATTATTGGAGATCAGCCCTCCTCTGTTCCTGTTAGGGAAGTAAGGCTTCCACTTTTCCAGTTATGATACCTCAAGAGGGTGATCAAGATGATAAAAGGTCTGGAAACCAAGCCTTATGAGGAACAGCCTAAGGAGCTGGGTATATTTAGCTTGGAGAAGAGAAGACTGAGATATGATAGCCATCTTTAAATATCTGAAGGAGTGTCATGTAGAAGATGAAGCAAGCTTGTTTTCTGCTGCTCCAGTGACTAAGACATGAAGCAATGGATTCAAATTACAGGAAAAAGAGATTGTATATAAACATTAAGAGAAACTTCCATAGGGGGAAAGCTATTCAACAGCAGAATAGGCTACTTTAGAAGGAAAGTGGACTTTCTTTCTTTGGCGGTCATTAAACAGAGGTTGGTCAGTCATCTCTCAAGAGTACTTTAGTTGTATGTTGCTGAATGGAGTGGTTGGACTTTGAAGTTCCTTCAAGCTCCATGATTCTTTGATTTTATTTTAGCAAGTCATATGGAACATGTGGCAAAGATCTAAATCTAAAGACCTATTTTAAATTTTATCAAGCATTTCCAAGCTAACAAAATATCAATATTTTGAGTATTTCTGCTGAACTGACATCAAAAACATATTCCCCCACCCTGGCCTTGACTTTCCTCATATCACTCAAAGGGAACTGCCCTTACACCAGTTTGGAAACCAACATTTTAACTGAGAATGCTCACAACTGGAGCTGGGACTTTCTCCATGTAATGTATTTGCCTGAGCAATAGCTTTTCCTCGGTTATAAGTAAGGGATTTCCATCTTCACTAAGAATCTACAACCAGCTACCTGCATGGTCATGCACAGCACATCCAGCGCTGTAGGCTCTTCTGGAGAGGAGAGGGACTTGCGGCTGGTCTGAAGCTTATATAGAGGCACCCAGCGGACACTTTCAAAGGTCTGGTTTGTCTTCACCTCCTTTAAGGTCACAATCAAAATGTTGCCCTGCTTGTCTTTAATGGGTTCAAAAAAGACCTGTCCTAAATCCTGGATTCCCAGAAGACCCTTTCAGAGAAAGAAAGAAAAGAAAAAGAGTCACATTTCTTGAAAGTGGTGCTTGCTTTCAGATTACGTATCTCAAGTAAAAGGTATCAGGAGTCAGCCAGCACAACAGTTGCAAATGGGCTCCATTCTTTCCAATACCATTACTGCTGAACTTTCTTGATTCAGATAATTAAGTATGGACAAGAGAATGGATATTGTTTTCCTTAAGAGACTTTCATCAGAAGCCACTGCTTAATAATCTGTTTGCTTTCAGGCAACAGCATAGAGTATAACTATGTTTACTTTTGCAATCAATTTACCTTCCTCATCCAAGGACATTTTTCCGATATAAAATGATTCTGTTCCAGAAGCATACTACTTCTCCTAGGTTATGGGTCTATGGTGTTGTTTGCCTTCAAGTTGTTTCTGACTTATGGCAACCCTAAGACAATCCTATTACAAGGTTTTCTTGGCAAATTTCTTAAGAGGGGGTTTGACTTTGTAATCCTCAGAGGCTCAGAGACTGTAACTTGTCCAAGGTCACCCAGTGGATTTTCATGGGTGAGCAGGGATTCAAACTTGGTGCTCCACAGTCCTAGTCTAATATTCAAACCAGTACACCACACCATATTAAACACCATTTATGATGAATCTTGTGACTTTGGTTAATCAATTACATCTTAAACTATTAAGATACTTAATCAAATGTGTGCAACAAGAAACATGTTTTGCTCCCTACACTGCACCAGAGAGATGATACAAGAATGGCTTCACAATGTGTGCACTCTAGGCATCATACTTATTGTACCAATTGCTTGTGCCCCAGACACAACTGCAATGTTTTGTTCTTCATAAAGAACACATCCTATTACATTTCCAATCCCAAAGCAGCTGGTATGGTTGTTCAGTGTATGGCAATATTAGACCCATCTAACTAAAACTCAGTTTTAATCATGTCTGACCTTAATATCCATGGACTGTGTATGCTGGCCAGGTATAAAAGAGTTATTTGTACTGGTAGGATCCCACTCTTGATACTTAAAGAAGTCTTTTTTACCTGCATCTCAGAGATGGCCAGCAGCATCTTGAGGCGTGTTTGCAAAACACAGGAGCAAGATGACTGGGAAACGGTGACACACTGCCGCAACCACAGGATTTCATCCCACATGCATGACACCTACACCAACATAGCAATACATGTCATCTTAGATTTTCAGTTGTCCTAGTTTGGGATACACCAAGAATTGAAGATGTGTCTGCACTGATGGGTGCAGTGCAGCTTCTGGATTTGTGGGGAGGACAAGCTATCCACACAACCAGCTCCCACAATGGGCCAATGTCAGCAGTACTGTCCACACACTCCTCAAGCAATGATCATCCTATTGAGCATCGGTACTGATAGTATTCTTGTGCTAATGTGCCCTTGTGTAATCAATCTGCAGACAGGAATGTTGCTGTACTGATATTGTTGTGCTAATGTGTGCAAGGAGCCCTGGTGGTTCAGTGGTTAAATGCTGGTACTGCAGCCACAAGGTTGTGAGTTTGATCCCAGGCAGGATTCCAGGGTCCACTCAGCCTTCCATCCTTTCATAGGTTGGTAAAACGAGTACCCAGCTTGTTGGGG